AGCAAGACAAGACGTGTCAGCCCCTGCCACTCACGGGCCCAAGTGAAAGAGAGAAGAGCCAGCATATCTGGATCCAGTCACACCCCAGGACAGCCCTTCTCTCACAGCGAAATAACGTTCGTTCGTTTGTGTCGAGATTTGGCTTTGCCTTCTGACCCCTAACCCAGAAATCTGCGGTTTGCTGTGACTATGCTTGCTTCTGTTTTTTTATTTCCAAAACGACATCTTGTTTTTACAAGACTCTCAGTTGAATGTTTTGGTTTAGTTTTGATAACTAACAGAGAAAGAAAGTCACTGTTCACCCATGCAGCTCCCTCGCCCGGGACTGGTCTGGGTCCCTAAGCTGCCTCTGGTCCCCCAGGACGAAGTCTCCACTTCTCTCCAAAGCACCGAAGGACGCCTCCCCCGCTGACCAACGAGAGGCTTTTCCTGGCCCTGCGGGTTCATTAAGCGGAAAACAGGCTCTGGCGACAGGGCGTGCTTTGTTTCCCTGAACTTCTGAATGGCTTTGTGTTCTCAGGAGCCCCAGCAGATGCTGGGTTGGAATTCAATCGGCCGCCTGGTGAGAATCAAGGAAACGCGGCTGATCCCAGTTTTGATGGGAACAGGACACATGGAACAAAATCTCTGGCTGTGGCTACCAGAGGAAATGGAAGGGACTTCTATTTGCCTGATTTTCCTTTCCAGCTTTATTCTGAGCAAAGCCAGACCCTTTCTCAGGGTAGAAGACAATTCCAGAAGAAAACAAGGGGGCAGTCTCATGCTTCGGCACCCAAACAAGGTAACAACATGAGAGATCTTTACAATCAGCTCCACACGTGGGAAGAAGAGGAGGAGGCAGGAGGAGGGGGACCAAGAGCAGGGAGGAGGGAGAACAGAGCCGAGAACAGGCCAGGACAAGGACACGAGGCATCGTCCCTTGCGTGGTCACTCTCATTCTGCTTTGTTTCTAGAGACGAAACGGGGCAGTGGGAGGAACACTTCTCAGAAGCGGCAGCCGAAGGAAAAGCAGCTTATTTCCTCACGAAGTTCCTGGAGGTGCCCAGCTGCCCTGTGCCGGGGCGGCGGTGGGCGGGGTTCCAGAGAGTGAGCCAGCAGCAGCTGCCCCTGGCAGTGCGGCCGCAGAAGGCAGCGAGGACTCCCTCGCGCAGCGCTCCCACCGCGGCCAGCAACTGCGGCATGATTTCCCTCTTCGCTAAGCCTCCCTTTTCTTTCAGAGTTTTCCCTGGGCTATGTGGGGGCAAAGAGAGAGGCACGGGGGAGGCTTAGCAAGGGCCTCACGTCATCACAGAGCTGTGGACTAAAAGCAATTCCTGTGGCCTCAGCCCAATTTTCTAGCCAGTGAGGAGCTTGTCCCTGGTAGGCAGACACCTGGTTTCCAGAGGACTCACTGCTTTTCAAAACTGGTGGCTCTGAGGGTTACGGGCTGGCTACCAGGACGGTCTGCTGCGCTTTGCAGGGACCATCTGTGACCCTGATGCCCTTTCCTGTAGGCCGTGCTGGAGGGGTCCCTGCACCGGGGTGAAGGCTGGCGGCTCAGAGACTTTTTCTTTGGCTTATAAAGCATTGGCTTGCATTGTGTTTTAAAGATGGTTGGAATAATGATCAGTAAAAATAGGCAGGTTTCACATTAAAATACATTTCCAGCCTCTCTGGACAGTCTGAAGCCACAGGAACTGAGCACAGTCTGGTCCGGCAACAACCTGTAGGGGCCACAGCTTCTCCTGCTGCCACAGTCTCCACTGCACCCTGCTGTCTCCCGGACGTGGCCGACTTCACAGTCACCAGCCGCTTGCTCTGCTTGCCCCTGGGCTAACGGAGCTCTGCGACCCTGGCTGCATGCTGTGTTTTATGCCCCAGTCTTGCCATGCGTCCCCCTCCCCGTTTTAAACACAGGTTCACAGCACCGCGGTGTGTAGCTGCACACCATACTACTGCGAGCGCCCTGCCCCTGAGCTGCCCAACGCTGGTAGTCACTACACGTGAGGGAGAAATAAGCCCCTATTGGGTAGAAGCCACTGCTATTTTTGGGCTTTCTGATATTCAGAGACAAAACGATCCTTATTAATATAGGGACGTTTACTGATTTCTTATTGAGTCACGTCACTCTTTACATATCAACAACACTTAACTATATGTTGCACCAACTCTCGCTGGTTCCTCCATCCACACGATAGCCAGTACAACCGGAACACTTCCTGAGGCCCAGGTGCGCCCACCAGCCCTGCAGCGGCGCCCGCTACGCATGAGAGGCCCGTGGCCTGGCTCCGGGCCCACCTGTCACCCCACGCAGCGGGCTGCCTGCGAGCCGTGCAGCCTCTTCGGGGCCCCACTGGGCCGAGTCCGTGACGCTCCTCTGGCCTGCCTGCTGTCCCCCCCACCCCCCCCAAACGGTGCCCTAGGGTCGCTCCGCGGTCGGCCTCCTCCGGCGGCTCCCATCACGGTGCTCTCCTCGCTCCTACACAGCACTGACCGCACAAAGGACGCTTGTCTTAGACCGTGAGCTTCATGAGGCCGGGGTTTCCTGCCAGACTAGCCCTGGCAACACTGAACACTCAGGAACGAAAGTACAAATCTGTCATTTCTCTAGGGAATTGAAATGGTGTTTTTTTTCACACGTTAAATTCTTGTGGGTCTGTTTCTGGTCTCTGCTGTTCCTTTGATCTATCTGCCTATTTTTGTATTAGTCTATATGGTTTTGATCAGTGTAGCTTCATAGTAAAAATCAGTTTCATTTTCAAAACTACAGGTAATTTTTCAAGAAAAAAAAATCCTTTGAATTTAAAAGGGAATTGCAGTAAACTTTTAGGCCACTCCTGAGAGAACTGATCTCTCTCTAATACCAAGTCCCCTGTGAGGGGCGAGATGCCGCTCTGCCATCCAGGCCACTCCACTTGTCTCAGGTGGAGGCTGGGCCGTCTCGGGTCCCCCGTGGGCTTCGGTACCCTTCTCCAAAGCCTGTCACTTGCCCCCAGTTAGCGGAATGCTCACTGTCAGGCTGAACCGCTTTTTGGTAGAATAAGTCTCCTCATACGTAACATTGCTATTCCTATAGATCAACTTACAGTTGGTTGTGATAGTTTCAAGTTTAAAACTATTTTTTAAGAAGAACTGATATATTTTTAATATAAAACTATATAAGAACAAAGCGAATTTTTCCATATGTTCAAGCCTCTTCATGTTCTTCGATATAATTTTATAGCTTTCTTCATATTCTTTTTTAAAGTTCATTTCCAGTGTATTTTATGATTTATATTGCTACTAAGAATGGCATTCTGTATATTTATTTTGTGTCTAGCCATCCACAACTTCTAAAAGCCTTCTGATTATTTTGTCTTTTCTTAGGTTTAACATGGTGGATCTGCTTTTCTTCTTTACACATCAAAGTACTTTTAAGAGCATCTGACACATGTGGGCGCCCAATAAACACAGCAATTATTTTCTCCAATATCTGTACCTTTTATATTATTCTGTTAGCTAACTGTATTGACTAGCAATTCCAGAACAAAACGGTGGTGATAATCTTACATTTGACTATTTGGGAATGCTTCTATGTATTTCACTATTTTTTTTTAAAGGTTGGTATTTAGGATTTTATTTATTTTTACAGAGGAGAAGGGAGGGAGAAAGAGAGGGAGAGAAACATCAATATTGTGGTTGCCTCTTGTGTGCCCCTTACTGGGGACCTGGCCTGCAACCTTTCCCTGACTGGGAATTGAACCGGTGACCCTTTGGTTCGCAGGCCAGTGCTCCGTCTACTGAGCCACACCAGCCAGGGTTATATTTCACAATGAAATTCTCGTTAACAATGCCCTGACTGGCGTGACTCAGTTAGTTGGGCATTGTCCTGAACAGTAAAGGCATCTGCAGGAGACAATGGATCAATGTCTCTCTCTCACACTGATGTTTCTCTACCCCTCTTTCTCCTTCCCTTCTCTCCCCTCTAAAAATAAGTAAAATCTTAAAAAAATGCTAATAATGACAGTTTTGAAATATGAGTTTTAAAAATATAACATTAAGTAAAGCACCCTTACAATGCTACTTTAAAAGCTCAAATCAAGAATGGATATCTGATATTAATTCAGCATCTTTTTAAAAAAAGATGTTATGTATTTATTTTTTAGAGAGAGGAAAGGACAGAGAAAAACATCAATCAGTTGCCTCTCACACGCCCCCCAGCCGGGAACTTGGCCCACCATCCAGGCATATGCCCTGATCAGGAATCAAACCAGCGACCTTTTGGTTTGCAGGACGATCCTCAACTCACTGCACTACACGAGTCAGTGCTATCCAATGACATTTTACCATCTGAAGCTATCACGTGCTGAATTATATTAAGTGGTCTTAACATTGAACCACCCTTGCAGTTTTGGAACAATCTCACTTGGTCGTGGTTTCTATTTGCTGGTATTTTATTCAGAGAATTTTAACCCTAAAGTAATAAGTAGGATAAATTTATAGTTTCCTTTTTGGGGGGTGTCTCTGTTACATTTTGGTATCAGAACTATGCAGGTTTTATGCAAATATGTGTAAAACTTTCCTTACTTTTCTATGCTCTGAAATATTTCAGATGGCATAAAAAAATTTTATTCCCTAAAGCGGGGGTCCCCAACCCCCATAATGGTCCATGGCCTGCTAGGAATGGGGCCACATAGCAGAAGGTGAGTGGTGGGTGAGCGATGCTCCGCTCACATTACTGCCTGAGTGCCCCCGCCAACTCCATGGATACACTGTCCTCCATGAAATTGGTCCCTGGTTCCCAAAAGGTTGGGGACCACAGCCCCAAAGGATTCGAAGAATTTGCTCATACACTGGGCATGCTGCTTTCTGAGGAGCAGCTTTTTGATCGCTCTCTGAATTTTTTTTCCTGTGGTTACTGGCATATGTATTTCCTACCTTTTCACTGGTCACAATGTGTTTTGTATGCACTAAACCTCACCGTATCCCTTACTGATTGATATTCCCCCTACAAAGCAACAGGCAGCCACGCACTCTCTTACCGTGGGGTCAGTCCAGAGAGAGCACCGCGAACACTCCTGGCAGGGGGCTCCTGGAGAGCGAGGGTGCTGGCAGAAGTGGTCGTACCCACTGATGGACACGCGACAGAGGTAGCACATCTGGGCCCCACAGCGGCAGGACATGCGGTTGCAGCCTTCGGATTTGATGAGGCCGGTCCCACATTTGTGGCATTTTCTAATGCGAGCAGCAGTCATTTTTTCTTCGCTGAAAAAACAACAACACATGATTGGAGATAGCAGGGAAGACGAAGAAGAAAGAAAAATATGGCCATTAAGTATTTCTTTCTTCCCACGCATGACTCCTAGCCCTCCTGGTGACAAAGACTGAAAGGAACCTGTGTCCTGGAGGCTGAGGGCTGGGGTCAATCTATCAGTTGTTAACCCGGGGTAAATTCCTCAAACGACTGGAGACTCCGTTCCCTTATTTTTAAATGGAGAAAACCCAACTTTTGAAGATTACAGGTAAAATAAAAAGCACCTTGGCACAGTGCCTGGCACGTAACACTTAAAAAATGACTATTCTATTTATTATAGGAGTTTCTGTAGGCTTAAAATGGGAGAATAAACTCAGGGTCTTCCAAAGTAATGTGTTTCATGCGTACAAATTTGGATGATGGAGAGCCAGTTAGCCTACATCTTAGTTATATTAGCACCTTGAGTTTTTCAGTACTTGGCATGAGGGCGGGACAGACACAGCTGGGGACAATCCCCTAGCCAGGGGAACCCCATTCCCAGACTCCTTGCAGTGAGGGGTGGACACACAGGACGCAATGGGGATCTTGCAGGGAGGACCCGTTTCCCAGAGCGCTGTGACTGATGTGGAAGCGCGAACGACGAGGATCAGCATGGCAGGTCTTGGCTCTCTGTCAGGAGCCGGCACCGGAGAACTAAGTTACATCCACGGTACGTTCTTTGTAACACCGGTGCCGTGGCCTACCGCTGCTGATGCGTCTGCGTCCAGCTACTTAAAACCGAGTTCCATGAAGGTGGAGGGCAGGCTGTGCCGGCATGCCCCGCTGCACAGAGAGGTGCGGTCTGGGCGGGACGGTGTGCAGAGGCGAGCCCGCTGAGACTAGGGACGAGCACAGGGGACCGGAGGGAGGACAGCCCCGAGGTTGGGACTCACCCCTCTGCTCTGAGCAGTCCCGATATTAACAGTGTGGGGATGAGTTCTGACCTGCAGACGCTCTCCTAAGGCTGAGAAACGCAGCCACCTTCCCATGGCTGCAAGGTTTTCTGCTCAGTGAGAGGAGCCATGTGAATCAGGGGCAGGCGAGTGTTTTTAATTACTTATATTTAGAAGACTCTTGTGGTAGTATGCTCCTTAGAAGCCAGACCATTCTTTAAAAATAGAGAAATGCATTACGAAATTGGCTGCTATTCATTTAGGTCTAATTTTTGAATGACCCAAAATAAAGGCAGGCAGAAGTCTGGCTTAAAAAGAATTTAAACCCCGTGCAAGTTACAGAAAAACAAATGAGTTTCAAGTTTTGGCTGAACAGGAAACACTGTTAAGCAAAGTTTAAATAAAGTGAATTTCTTATTATCAGCTAAGTAACAGTTAACACATGTTCATGATTTCAGTCATTCAGCAACTGTGAAGGCACCTGTCAAGGATCCATGTTAAGACTCACAAGGTTTTCAGGAAACTTTCCAATTTGAAAAGCTGTGACCGAAACACAACTGCAATTTTCTTTAAAAAAAATTTTTTTTTTGAATTTGAGAGTGGGAGGAGAGCGAGCGAGCTAGAGAGTCGTTGATTTGTTGTTCCACTTATTTATGCACTCACTGGTTAGCTGGTGTACGTGCCTTGACTGGGGACTGAACCCACAGCCTTGGCAGTACTCTAACCAACCGAGCCACCTGGCCAGGGCACAGCTCTAATTTCCTACGGCACAGACTTTCTGTGTCAGGGCACCCCTGAGACCAGGCGCAGCTCTCGGCCACTGCACCCCGGCGGCCTGGGGCCGGCTAACTCACCCCCGGCAGCTCACAGGCTGCGCGGTGGGAGAGAGGTGCTGAAGAGCCAGGGCTGCGCAGTCCTCCCTGAGGGTCTGGGGAGAGGGCGCGGTCGCTTGCTCCGTTCACCACTCGGTCAGCTGCCACTGTGAAATAACAATGGGCGTGGTAAAGGAGGAAGGGCACTCCTGAATGGATGAGGACTGTACAAAGATCGCGTGCAACTCAGCATTGCTGTAATGTTCACACAGCTGTCCGATACTGCATGAATATCCATTCAAGTCTTTTGCTTTTGCAAAAGGAAGAGTCCTAGGTAGGGCCAGAATGGCCTTGTACCCAAAAAAGGATTGCTCTTGTGGGATGTACTGACTGCCTATCAAGTAACATAAGAATGCCAACTGGAATTGGGGAGAAATCCGTTGATTCTTTAGGATTTCTCTTTAGGAGAGTGATTTGGCAACGAGATGCTAAGTTAGGCAGGAAAGAGGCCCACAGGATGTGTTCCTGTTTGGAACAGGAAGAGAAGGCTGAGCTGCAGCTGTGTCTGCTGACCTCAAACAGGAAGATTCACTACCCTCCTCTACATAACCAAGGGAGACCCTACGGACCCAGAGTGATGTATCTCCCCATTGTTTAAGCACACTGGGCGCTGTTTTCACTTGTGGCATGTACAATTCAGTCTCCAACGGCTTTCGTTTATGCACTTTTTTTGGATTGATAAAATGCATGTAAAATGTACTGTTTTACCCATTTTAAAGTGCACAATACAGGAGCATTTAGTATACTGGCAGAGCTGTGCAGCCTTCACCACTGTTTAGTTCCAGAGCACTTTCATCGTCTGAAAAGCAGCTCCGTAACTATTAAGCCGTAACTCCGTGGCCCCCTTCCCTGCAAATGGCTGCTGCTTTCTGTTTCCAATGGGTCTGCCTATTCTGCACACGGCACATATCCATGTGCCTGTGGACATTTCATTTAAATGCAACCAGTTAAGATGTGGCCTTTCGTGGCTTCTCTCACTGGGTGTGTGTCTCACCCACAGCACAGCGTGCCCGAGTTCCCTTCTTACAGCCGAGGGATGTTTTGTTCTACGGCTATGCGGCTATACGGCACTTTTTAAATAATTCATCAGTTGGTGGACACTTGGGTTGTTTCTACCTTTTGACTATTTTAAGTAATGCTGCTGTGATCTGTGATCATTCTTGGACAAGTTTTTGTTGGAACACCTGACGCATCTCGTATCATTTATTATGCTGTAGTTTATGATTCAGCGACAATAAACTGCTTATAATTTCCTGTGTGTACCCTGCTGTTCCTTACTTTTGACACCTGGCACCTGGCAGGATTCTGTGGCTCTCTGATCCACGGAGTAAATAAACACTGTGTGGCGGGGAGAGGAAGCGGAAGCCCACAGAGCACTCCCGCCCTGTGGAAAGTAATACCAGGGTCTGTGGGCGCCTCTGAGATTGATGCCACCACCAGGATGCAGGGCCGCTGACGGCCATCGTGCCTCCTTTTACTTCTCTGGCCTAGAGAGAGAATGGGTCCTGGACCCAGTGCATCACTGGATGCCTAGTTAGGTGCTGACTGTACTTGCAGCTGCTGTTCCAGATGTCATTTCTCACCAAGGCAAGTAAACAAGAGCCTCTGGCAACTGGGATGAAGCTATTGAGCTGGAAAATGCTTTTATTCTCTGTCCAATAAGCAGAGAACACCAGAAGCAGTTGGCAAGAACCTTGAACATCTGTTATCCAATAGGACAACACAGTGGTCACTATTCAAATGACTTGCAGATAGAACCTGGTGAACAGGAAGTGGCAGGCACTCTAGGACACACTGATACGGTGTGTGCATGCCAGGCGGTGGGAAGTCAGTCTCTTGGAAACACCGAGATCTGTAATTCCTACGAAGGCCTGGTGACCTGGCGATCAGGCGTGCATCATTAGGCTACTCCTTCCAAAGCTAAGCACACGTTGCTGTATCTTGTGTCCCTTACCACGAAGAAAGCAGCCGGACACTTGGGAGGCCTTTCTGGACTTTGCAATCAACACAGATATTTGGATGTGCTGCTCTGATCCATTTACTGCTGATACAAAAGGCTGCGGGTTTAAGTAGGACCCAGGGCAAAAGCAATCTTCTGGCGGCTTTGGACCCAGCGGTGCTCCCAGGGTCTACGGCAGGCCAGGCACTGAGTGCGGCCAGCAGCAGAAACTGCCTGAAAGCCAGAATGGGGCTCTGCTCCAAAAAGCCATCAGCTTTTCTTCTAAGCAGCATCTCCTGGCCCAAGACTGGGCCCTAGAGTAGTGCAGGCGCCTGACCCTGGGCCCCAAGAACCAGTAAAGGGCTGCGCATCACCCCATCACCAGCTCCAAGTGGAAAACACCTGAGCAGGCCCAAGCAGGTCCTGAGCGCAAGAAGTTATCTGTTCGCATGCTTGCGCCACGTCTGTAAATCAGGGACTTCTGCTTATGGAAGCCTGTGGGTCTTCCATTTATGTCATGGGGATTCATTCCTTTAGACATTCCATGTGCCCAAAACCATTCTGGGTACTTTAATCTTCACAATAACCCTACAAGTTGATATGACTGTGCTCTGCACTTTACAGATGAGGAAACTGAGGCACAGAAATATTAAGAAATTTGCTCAAGGTTCTTAAAGGTAGATATCTATAGTGAGCACTCAGTAAACCTGTACTGACTAGATGAGTAATACATCCTTCTCAGGAGCAAAACAAAGGCCCCAAAACAGCAACAACAGAAACCCTCCCATCCTCCCAACTCAAACCAGAAACGACGTGTCCACAGTAACGAGAACAGATTTTTCGGGAGCCGAGTCATAAATCGGCTGAAAGACAAGTCCGAATGAAATGCTGACAGAGTTTCAGGCAATAGCACAGCAGCTGAAATCAGCGCACTGCTTGACAAGGTGGCTAATCTGAAGAAAGAATCACCTCTGACGTGTCAATCGAGTCAAGGCCACAGCGCCGGCCAGGTTGGTGGCCACTCTGACAGGTGAAGGCTGGCTGGCTGCGACAGGATTTGAGGAGGCAACGCTGGACTTTTCTAGTTGGGGCAGCACGTGTGGTTCCGTGTCCACTGCTGTACTGGTTTTCTACTGCTGCCATAACTGTAATTCCATCCGCACAGGCCCATCGCCGTGGGAGGTAAAAACAGTCACAGGTGGTGGGGAGAGGGCAGGGACGCCTCTGGAGGCTGCTCTTCTGCCTACCAGTCTGTCCTGTGGCCTCCAAAGACTCACACCTACCCCCCCACGCAACCTAGAGTCACCTCATCCCAAAGACTGCGCCCATCACAGCTCCGGGTTCACGCCCCAAACCTCGTCTAAATCTCCTCGGCTCAACGGTCCCACGTCTCATCATCTAAACAGGGTATAGGTGAGACTCCGCATGTGACCCACTTGGACACACCTCCTCTCCATTTTTGAGCCTGAGAAACTAAAGAAACACGTTATCTGCTTCAAAAATACAGTGATGGTACGGGCATAGGATGACAGTTACAGATATTCTGGTTCAAAAGAGGAGAAAACAAAAGGAAAAAAGGCGTCACCACTCCCAATCAATCTGGGATCCAGCCAGACCAACCCCCTCACGTCTCAGACCTGAGAACAGTCCCCCGCGGTCCTGAGGCTCTGCCCTCCTGGCCCACGGCCCTACTTTCCGAGTAACCATCCTTTTTGCAAGCGAGGCCGTGTGTGCTGCAGCTGAGCCGTTTCTCATCGGCCTGCTGCCCGCTTGTGGAGTCTGGGGGTCTGACAGATGCCTTTCGTTTCATGCTCCCTGCCCTTCCCGTCCAAGCGGGCAGTGCTGCTGCTGATACAGAATCCTCACGGCCCTTGGGGTCTTCCATCTATGTCACAGGGCTCATGCCATTAGACGTGAAGCTCATTCGCAGATGCTTCCGAGACAACCGCACCTCTGTTTTTGGCTTCTGGTGAGAAGGCTGAGTAATAATGCCTGAGTTTACTAGAGGCTGCCTGTTAGACTGCGAGGACCTATGAGTCACTCCCTCAGTCTCTTCAAAGAGCCTTGTGTGTGACCGAATACTCTCGACATTCCGGCCGTATCCTTGTTTTTTTCCTCTAGACCATGTTTCTCCTGACAGTGACTCCATCGGTTTTAGGGTTTCTCATCTGGATGGGATGACGATTTCAGAAACAATCACATCCTATTCCTTTCCGTTAACAGCTCTTCCCTCAATTTATCTCTTTCCACTTGCATTTTCCACTCTTCAGCACCTCGAGGGACACAAATGAGCGAAGCGTCCTGCCGTTCTGTGACAAGGGCTCCCTTTCCTCCAGTTTTCAGCAACAGGCTCCCGTTTCCTTCTGAGTCCTCCCCAGCGGTGCCTTCAATGTCCGTATTTCTACAAACAACAGTCCGTTGATGGTGATTTACGTATTCTCTAAGGAAATTCAGGTTTTCCTTGGAATGTTCCCCAGTTACTTTTGAGCCCTCAATTGTGGAGTTTCTAACGTCGTATTTGTACTAATGGTCTGTTCAAGGGAATCTAGGTTTTCTCCTGTCATGCTTCTCAAAATTTTTCCAGGTTCCACCCCTTGTCCAATTCCAAACCCACTTCTGCATTTTTAGGTATTTGTTGCAGCAGTGCTCCACTTCTGGTACCAAAATCTGTGTTAGTTTTCTATTGCTCCTATAACAAACCACCGCATATGTATTAGCTTATTATAACACACATTTATTATTTTATCGTCCTGCATGTCAGAAGCCCAGCATGGGTCTTGTCAGTCCAAAACCAGGGTGGGCAGGCCGTGGTCCCTCCTGGAGGCTCTGGGAACGAGCCTGTCCGGTGCTCATCACCAGACAGAGCACACCGGGGCTGTCAGCAGAATTCAGTTCTCGGAAGCTGTGGGGCCAAGGTCCCGTTTTCTAAAAACTGAAGGCTGTTCCCTGCTTCCAGAGGCTGTCGCATTCCTTGGCTCATGGCCTTCTTCCTCTGTCCTCACAGCCAGCAACGAGAGGGAGCTCTCCTCGTGTGTCTCTGACTCTGCCCATCACTGCCTCTCCATCTGACCAGAGAAAGGCGCTCTCTGTGCTTTTAAGGAGTCACGTGATTAGACTGTGTACCTGGTAATCCAGGATAACCTCCCCATGTCGATGTCCACCGCCTGAATCGTACCTGGAGAGTCCCTTCTGCCACGGAAGGTGACATACTCACAGCTCGCAGGTCCTGGAGATCAGGGCATGGACCCTCTGGGGGCTGTTATCCTGCCCACAAGCCTGGGGTCAAGTGCCATCAGGAAGCCACTGGACAGGCCGCTTACTGTGTGACCACGGGAAAATTACCTGGGATTTCTGTGACTCAGTCGTGTCATTTGTAAAACAAAGATAATAGTGCCTACCTGTGGTGTAGATTTGGAGACTGTTAACTACCCCAAAGAGGCATTTCCCTCTTCATTTTTTTTAGTAACAAAACTTGTTCCTTAACATTCCAATTTAGGCTGGACCTAAAATCACCCGGCTAGAGATGACACATGATGTCTGCCTTGGAGCAGGCTGTGGCCGCGTGACTCCGTCTAGACCAACAGGGCACAAGCAGAAGTAACATATACACCTTCTGCATCACTCACAAATCGAAGAAAAACCGCCTGCCTGGCACCTTGTCTCTCTCTCCTTACCCCAGGGCCGCAGCGTACATGTGGCTGAGCCCGGTCCCATGCCGGCAGGTGAGAGCACCACCCAGGGCAGCAGCGAGGCACTGAGATAAAGGAACCTGTGTGTCTGAATGACCTCATGGGCAGACCTGCTCCACCCATCTGCAAGGCTGGACTATTACATGAGAGAGAAATAGACTTCTGTATTGTTTAACTCATTGTGCTCAATAAATAAGTATTTGTGAAGCGTTCAGCCACACAGGGAGCACCGTGCAGTGACAGCTCCCATTTCTGACCGCGTTACTTTGCATTCTGGAGACTGTGATACTACTACTCAGTGTCACCAGTACCCTACAGCAAATACATATGAGACAAGCTTAGTGCTACCTTCCCTAACTACAGTGTGTCACTTTGAGACCGCTCTAGGCTGAGCTCGTCCTGAGAACCTGTTTGCCCCACACTACTCACTGTCCCCTCTGCCAAAAAGGCAGGGTAACGTGTGTGGGGGTGTGTTGTGGACCAGTCTGTGGACCCCTCGGAGTTAACATTACTCACATGGACGTGCGGTACTTGATGTCGTCTTTTTCAGCCAGCTCTTCACAGGTGAGGCCGTTGTGCTCTTTCCAGAGTCCCTGACACTTCCTACAGGTTTCCTGGGGACAAAGCAGACACACAGACAGCTCCTGATGAGCATACTCCACGACAGAGAATGGGAAGAAACCTTCATGCTGCCTGCGCTCTTTTGGAGGCTCTCCCTCCCCTTTGGCAGGCGCTCGTCTACAGACAGCTCGGCAGAAGGGGAAAAACCATTACAGAAAAGCGTGGGCAAGTTTTCTCTCCTTAGAGCAGAAGGATGCGTGGCGTGGCGTGGCCTGGCTGGTGTGGCTCATCTAGAGCATCATCCTCTACAGTGAAGGGTTCGATCCCCAGTAGGGCACTTAAGGGAGGCTGCCAACGGATATTTCTCTCTCACATCAACAGTCTCCCCACTCCCCTTCCTCTCTCTCTAAAAGCAATGGGGGAAAAAGAAAGTCCTCGGGTGGGGATACAGGAAAAAAAGGACTCATTGTTTCCATCACCCAATTTGTGTGAGGCTTTCTAAAATGCCTCCCCCGCCCCTGCAAAACAAAACAAAACAAAACAAACAAAAAAAAACCATCCCAGATTATGGGATCTGGAATTTTAAAAATGAAATACTGCGAGCTGCTAGAGGGCAGGCCCTGTCTGGGTCTTACTGGTTCCTGCCCTTCCCGCGCCCAGTGTTCTGTCCAGCGCTGGCCCGGCACGGGCGCTTCTGCAGGACTGAGCTGCAGCGCGGTCCAGGCCACTAGGGTGGCGAGGACCCTTCAGGGGCCTCCCTCAGGCAGCCTCCCTCACAAACACGGGGTCATCCTCCGCATTTAACTTCATTTCTAAACATGAATTTAAAAAAGTACTACTTTTTATTCTAGGATTTCTTGTAGTTTATAAACTATCTCACATCAATAACAGGAGTTAAAAAAAATTAATCCAATTTAATTTCCATAAGTGGAAATTACAATCCTAATAACTACAGTAAAGGAGAAGATACCGTCAGCTTGAACTGGGGAGCTGATCTAGTCTGGGGGGACAGTGAAGGCTAGAGAAGCGGAGCCTGGAATCCGGAAGCGGCGCCAACGAGCGCCCGGGAGAACGGCGCTGCAGGCTGAGGGGCTGCAGGCGAGGCGGCAGGCCGGCCCCTGAGGCGGGGCCGCAGGCGAGGCGGCAGGCCGGCCCCTGAGGCTGGCCCGCAGCGACATCCCGCAAGGCCCCTGTGAACGGTCTGCCGTTCACCCTGAGAGCACCAGGAAGGTGTCCGCAGGTGTCGGGCATGGGAGTAACATGATCAGCTTTGTTATTTTACAAGCTCGTTCTTCATGGAGGACAGACTGGCAGCAGGGAAGGGTGGAAGTGTGCAAGACAGTTAGGAAGCTATAAAAGTCAACCAGGAGGGGATCAAGGAGGCTTCGGGAGACAGGGGAGGGCATGATGAAAAGCTGACTGATCTGACAGAAATTCAGGCAGCGAAAATGGCTGGCGGACGATGCCCGGCTCTGGGAGTGAGGAGAGGCGGGTGTCAAGGACGACACCCTGGTTTCTGGTTTGTGCAACACAAGGCAAGGGCAACACAGATGGCTCTTGGAGACAGTGGGAAAGGCCTGGCTTGGGGAGAGGGAAGGCCGGCTTTCAGATCCAGAGTTTAACTTGGGTGCCGATGGCAGGGGAGGGCCTGTGGGACACCCAGCAGAGATGTCAGACAGGCAGATGGGTATAAATGTTTAGCATCTGGGAGTGGCCAGGCTAGAGATCACCAGGAGACTTACGAGGTTCCGTTTCCACATCCATTCTAAAAACACCCATCGCTGTACCGTCAACATCACTGAGCACTTTCTCACACACACTGGGAGGATGATGCTAACAAGGCACAGAACGGTATACATGGCATAGATGCCGCCGTTTCTATGGTGGCAGGGGGAGAAGACCGTGACACACAAATGCAACCTGAAAGGATACCCCAGATATTGTTAGTAGTGATTGTCCTGAGTGGCTGGCAGGCAGAGGTGAGACTTCTTACTAAAGGCCTTTTGAATCTTATATCATCATATAAATGTACTAGCTAATTAAAGGATACATAAAATTTAAAGCAAGAGAAAAATGAAATGGACTGCTTGGGGAGGTGAGAACTTGAACAACCCTTTGGCAGATGTTGTAAAAAGGCGTCAAACAACAGAATGGGGTGGGGCGGGGGTGGAAGTGAGCTGATTGAAGATTCTGTATTAAATGCTTTTGCTTCCAAGGCAAACGACGTTCTCTGGCTCACTGATTACATCCCTCTCAGTAAACAGGCTAAACCAGCAGTGAGCTAGTTATTACACACTGAAATTTAAAGCAGCATAAGCCCTGCGTTTGAAAGGCCTTTTGCCTGACTCTTTGTGCAGCTGGAGGATAAACAACAGCTGGAGAACAGAGGAGCTGGTAGCTGGGCCCTAACCTTCCAAACAACACTAACCTAGCCACCCGCCAGGAGCAGCTGCTTGGAGACAATGCAGGGCATTTAGATAATGCTTTGTGGAATTCCTGGCGATCCAGTTATTAATTCATGGGACCTTTTTCTTGAGGGAAGAATCTATTTTCCAGGGAAGGCACCGGTCCCCGACAGCAAGATGACCGGACCAAGCTGTGAGAGGTCACTGAGAAGCTACCAGTCACTTCCAGAATCACAGTGGCTCTCTCCTAAGTCTGTGAGTGGATCTGCAGCCGTGGTACTTCCCACTGAAGGGAGGGTCCCCAGGGTCCCAGGGAATAAAACAGCAGTGTCTTTTTAGAAGTCTAGCTAGCTAGACATCGAAACCCACCATTAAAACAAGGCAAGCAAACAGCAGGCTGGGTAAGTTTAACATTCAGAGCTTTCTCTTTAAAAATGCACCCTCTCTTCTAAACACAGCGTATACTTTACTAAATTGTAATTCTCTCCTCTGAAGCACAGCTGGGCTTTGTCCCTAGACTCAACAAACACTTAAACAGTATTAGGCAGAAGAAATGTTCTGGAACGTTTCTAACATGAAGAAATCCCATTCTTCAAAGTGAGGCCAATGAGAAAGTCCCAAGGACCATTTTGGAAGGCAGAGCACACCTTAACAAGCGCCGCGAGGACACTAAGGCCATGCATGTCCTGGCTCTCAAATCTAATCGGAAACTGCGCTCTCAAATGCCTGTGTGTGTGCATTTTTGGATCAGGAGGAAACAGCTGATTTCATCAACATCCCAAATACCATCCGCACATGCACATCCGGGAGAGACAGCAAGGAAGAGGGGGAGGGGCTAAGGAAGAGAACTCTCTGAGGAGTTGGCATCTTCATGGGACCGACTACAAGTACCCGAGTGGTGAGAACACCCGGCAACTAGCCAAGTCCCCTCCCATCTAGGCTGACAGCTCTTTGTAAAGTACCTTTCCCAGCTACAACAGCCATTAAAGCCAAGTATCTAAAATGTAGAACCAGGCCGTTAAACATCAGTAATGAAACATACTCAATATTTTAATGTGCATAAAAGGTTTTCATGTCATTAAATAAAATTATTTAAAAGTATGATTTAATATCACATGTATAATTTCTTACATTTTTGTTACGTTCTATAACGTATGAGGTATGGCAGCAGTATATACACACAACTTACAAATACACACACACACACGGGGAGGTGGCCTGCTCTGCGCATGTCTTCTGACCCGGCGAGCGACCGCAGCCACAGAGCTGTGGCCCGGCTTGGGCAAATGCTTTGGCGGGCTGAGCATTTGCCCACCAAAGGGGCTGAGACTAGAGGCAGGAAGACAGGCACAACTGGAAGAGTAATGAAAGTGACGAGGGAGAAGTCTCGAGTAACTTCTGGGTTTCTAACTTGGGACACCAGCTGGGCTGGTGGAAACACGAACTTGGATCAAATGATGCAGGAGGAGAAGCAGACCGAGTGTGTGTGGGAGGACAGGTGAGAACGTGATTTAATTTTAGACTGGCATCTTTATTCATCCTCAGTATTTGCAGAACCTCTATCATTTGTCAAGTGCCATGTGAGATGTTGGGGACGTGGCAATAAGCAAATCAGACACAGTTTCTACCTTCCTGGAGCTCATGGCCTAGTGAGGAAAACAGGTATTACACAAACATGTATAACTACCACCACGGGCAGAATATTTCAGAGGAAAAGCGTCAGGCGCTGTGTGAAACAGCGGGGTTGTATCAGTCAGGGATCAGAAAAGCCTTTCTGAGGATGTGACACAGAGGCGGAGCCCTGAGGGTGAGCAGGGTTAGCAGATGTTCTGGGCAAAGGGAAGAGAGGATGTGCCGGGCTCTGGTGAGGGAGGGGCCTGTCTTCATTCTAGCAGCGCAGAGGAAGTCCGTGTGGACGGAGCCGAGGGGCGGAGGGGGTAGGGCAGCGGGGTGGGGGGCTTAACGAGGACAGTGGTCAGCGCAGACACGGAGGCCAGCGCGACGCACGTGGGAAGCAGGCCGAGCGGGCGAACTACCCTTCCACATTCGAAAGGCTGCTCTGGCTGCCTGGCTAAGCTGCAGCGCCTGCAGCAGCCCGCCACCAGACCAGGACCAAGCAGGCGACTCCTGGGGAAGCAAGCCCTGGAGTCTGCATTCTACTCCAGGCCAGACTTCCTCCGCGGCCCTGCACGCCCCGCCCTGTGCCGAGCTGCGCCAGCGCTGAGCCTGGCAGGGCTGAGGCCGACCCGGGTGCGGGGAAACAGCGTGCCTAGCTGTCCTGGTCAGGACTAAGAGCTTTTCCTGTATGGCTTCAGAAAGGGACTTTGTTATTATTTTAAAAAGACCCTTTCAATTCTGGCTCTTTAGATGCATTTCCCTCTGGAATGTCATCCTCAAGGCAGCGCGCGTCTTTAACAAGCATCTTGAACTGTCTCATCCCTCCCACTACCCCACAGTACTGCCTCCTGGTTCCAAACCCAAACACCTTCTGGTACAGGATGCTTTGCACACACATCTCATTCAACCTTTACAGCAACTCCACAATGAAAGTATTGGCACATTAGCCCCATTTTTTTTTTAAGTAAATGAAAATGGAAGGCTCAGAGAGATACATTAGCTTGTCTAAGAACACAGAGCTACGGACTCAA